GACGAGGGGTAACGGTTTCAAACTGAAAGGGCGGAGATTTAGATTAGATTTCTAAACTCTTTCCTGTGAGGGTGGTGAGGCACTGGCACAGGTTGCCCAGAGAAGCTGTGGCTGCCCCCTCCCTGGCAGTGCTCAAGGCCAGGCTGGATGGGGCTGGGAGCAACCTGGTCTGGTGGAAGGTGTCCCTGCCCGTGGCAGGGGGCTGGATTGGGTGGTCTTTAGGGTCCCTTCCAGCCCAAACCGTTCTGTGACTCCATGAAATTACTGAGTTTTAGCTAAGAAAGAAGACAATGTTTTCTTCTTCCAGACCCACAGTAATAACCTCCGGTTTTGAATTGTTTCTGTTGAAATTCAAGTTACTGGTAAACTAACAGATTGCAAAGAAAGCTGGTTTTAAATAAGCATTGCTCAAGCTTCAACTTTAAAGAAAGATTGTATCTTTTAAATGCCCAATGAAACTAACGCATTCTGATTTAACTTACTCTAGGTGAATTACTCAAGAAAGCTTAGAGAACATCGTAACAGAAAAGACTGTCTTTTTATTTTAGAAAAAGGAGACAAAAGAGGAGATGTGCACAACAGAAGTGGTTAAGGTTGATTGAAATGTTCACAGAACTATTCCAGTACACAGAAAGGAGGCAAAACTTGGTGTTCCTGTTTAAATTCTAACACATACAGGTAAAACATTTTGCAGAACATTATAAAATTACTTTATAGAAAGTTTAAAGTTATAAATAGAGACAATATAAAACAGATCTTGTATCTTTTAATTGTAGTTAGAGTAACATTTCCAACTTTTCTCACAAATTTGAAGACACATACACAGAAGAAATGAACAAAAGAGTTGAAGTAAAATAGCACCAGACTTCTGTAGTATGGAAATGGATAGCTTGACATCCCCCACCATTCTAAAAACAATTTTAGTATTGTAAAGTTTAGCACTTCAAGCTTAGGGAAATCACAACTGAGAAACCAGTTAAAGGCTGGTCCAGTTCAGAAATGCTACATTTTGCTCTTTGACAGACTTCTTGAAGCCAAAGTTCACACTCCAAAGTTCCCTCTCCTGAGTATCACAATCTAATCACCGCTTCTCCTTGCACAAGACACTCTCAGCAAGCATCTAAGGTCTCTTCCCTGGGCTGCATCTGTGTTCCACAGAACTCACATTCTTGAACTAGCAGCTTTCAAATGTCACCCCCCCACCCCTAAGCACATGCACAACCTCAACTTTAAAGCCATCACTGCTTCCTTCTACTTTAAAAGATTGTACAGGACATTGTAACAAACCATCAAAAGAGTAGTTAATCTTAAGTTATTTACTTCTCCTGGTGTATTCATACACTAATGCGTTGTCTTTATATTAAAGTTATGCAGAACCTCTGTAAAGTGTTTCAAAATGCTCATTGCTCAATACAGATACTACTTGGCTGACTTTCAATCTGTTATTTGCACAGTTCCCTGGATACAGATACTTCTGCTAAATCTTAAATCTTTGCTTCTTCTAACAATCAGTCTTTGAAAGCTTCCTTTGGGTTACCACACTTCATTGAGACATGAGGGACCCCTTTTTTCTTCCCTCCTTTATCAAAAGGAAAGTGAA